CTCTATGTGAAGAACGAGAAATGTGCCTTTGCTCAAAAGGAGGTGACGTTTCTTGGGCACATTGTTGGAGGGGGCAAGATCCGGATGGATAAGGCGAAGATCGAGGCAATATGTGGATGGGAGCTGCCCAAAAAGGTGACCGAGTTACGATCCTTTCTTGGACTTGCAAACTATTATCGACGGTTCATTCAAGGCTATTCTTCTATAGCATCTCCACTCACTGATCTGTTGAAGAAGAAGGTTGCATGGAAGTGGGACGAGAGGTGCCGACATGCATTTGAGGAGTTGAAGAGAATTGTGACCGAGGAGCCTGTCCTAGCACTCCCCGATCACACAAAGCCGTATGAAGTCCAGACCGATGCCTCAGACTTTGCTCTAGGAGGAGTATTAATGCAAGAAGGGCATCCCATTGCCTATGAGAGTCGCAAGCTGAATGATATCGAGCGCCGCTATACGGTCCAAGAGAAAGAAATGACAGCCGTGGTGCATTGCTTGAGGACATGGAGGCATTACTTGTTGGGGTCCAAGTTCGTGGTGAAGACGGACAACGTGGCAACAAGTTATTTCCTCAATCAAAAGAAGTTAACGCCGAAGCAAGCAAGGTGGCAAGACTTTCTTGCAGAGTTTGACTTTGTGATGGAATATAAGCTGGGAAAGATGAACAATGTGGCTGACGCATTGAGTAGGAAGGCCGAGCTAGCTGCCATCACAAGCCCGAGTTTTCCTTTGGTGGATCGAGTCAAGGAGGGACCGGAGCATGACCCAAAGGCCAAGAGTTTGATGGAGTTGGCAAGTCGAGGGAAGACACGCCAGTTTTGGCTTAGAGAGGGGTTGCTCATGACCAAGGGAGATCGGATCTATGTGCCGAAGTGGCAAGGATTGAGGAAAGAGATCATCAAGGAGTGCCATGATTCGAGATGGGCTGGACATCCCGGAATTAGACGCACGATGGCACTGATAGAACGTGCGTACTATTGGCCCCAAATGAAGGAAGAGGTGGAGTTGTATGTGAATACTTGTCTTGTGTGCCAACAAGACAAGGTGGATCAACAACAGCCAGCGGGGTTGCTGGAGCCGTTGCCCACACCGGAGAAGCCGTGGGAGAGCATTTCTATGGACTTCATCACTTGTTTACCTAAGTCCGAGGGGTGTGGGAACATTATGGTCGTGGTGGATCGGTTTAGTAAGTATGGAGTGTTCATACCTGTCCCTACGAAGTTCACCGCTGAAGATGCCGCACGCTTATTCTTCAAGCATGTGGTAAAGTATTGGGGCATACCGAAGACCATCGTAAGCGACCGAGATACCCGTTTTACCGGGAAGTTTTGGATGGAGCTGTTCAAGATAATGGGGTCCGAGCTTAACTTCTCTACGAGCTTTCACCCCCAAACCGACGGCCAAACCGAGAGGGTTAATGCCTTGTTGGAGCTGTACTTAAGGCATTACGTGAGTGCAAACCAGCGGGATTGGGCAAAGTTGCTTGACATAGCTCAATTCTCATACAATTTGCAAAGGAGTGAGTCGACGGGGGCAAGTCCGTTCGAGATTGCCACGGGGCAGCAGCCGGCTACTCCGCACTCTTTGGCCGTAGGATATCGAGGTCCGAGTCCATCCGCATTCAAGTTTGCCAAGGAATGGCATGAGAAGGCCGACATGGCGAGGGCATGCTTAGCTAAGGCTTCGAAGAAGATGAAGAAGTGGGCCGATGCTAAGAGGAGAGACTTGGAGTTTGAGGAAGGAGACTTAGTGCTAGTGAAGCTCCTTTCCCACCAGAAGCATACGTTTGCTAAGCTGCACAAGGGGTTGGTGCGGCGATATGAGGGTCCGTTTCCCATAGAGAAGCGGGTTGGTAAGCTTGCTTATCGCTTGACCTTACCCTCACACTTGGAGATTTATCCGGTGTTTCATGTGAGCTTGCTTAAGTCCTACAAGGAAGACAAGGAGGATCCGAGTAGGGGCATTTCGAGGAGAGCACCGACAGCAATAACGAAGGTTCCCGAGCGTGAGGTTGGAGAGATATTGGCTCATAGAGTCATTCCGAGAAGAGGCGCACATCCGAGCTACGTGGAGTACTTCATCAAGTGGAAGGATGCTCCGGACAGCGAGGCAAGTTGGGAACACGAGTTAACCTTGTGGAACTACAAGGATCTAATAGAGGCTTACAAGAAGACCACGACGAGGACGTCGTGAGATTGAGTGGGGGAGAATGTCACGACTCTCCTGAACGCCGCGGCATTGAGTGGCATAGGCCGCGGCATAACGAGACCTGGAGGCGAGTTGGAGTCTAGAGATGCCTAAGAGAGAGGGGCAGAATCCTGGAGGCTAAGAGAACTTTCTAGACTCATGTAGATAAGTGAACACTTGTATAGAATAGAGTAGAATACTCTAGAATATCATAGAGTTGTATAGAATACTCTAGAATTGAATTGTAGCCGTTAGATCAAGTAGATCTAAGCCGTCCATTGAGGAGGAGGGCAAGTATAAATACCCCTCATGACTGGCTCATTTGTATCATCGAAAGCTTGAGAGCAATAAAACCTTTATACAAGTTTCTCCACTATCAGTGTTCTAGTTTCCGCAAGAGTTAGGCTGACTAGCATAGTTTGAGTGAGTGTTGCTAGTGCCGCACGGGTTCGAGAATAAGTCCGTGACAGTATGCATTGGATATGCCTAGATTGGGGTCATTGGGTGGATCTAAGTCAGACAAGTAAGTCGATTCTATATCTGGAAGAAGTAGTGATGAGACGAAGCGGCGATAAATTGGGAGAGACCTAGAGATGTAAAAGGAAAAATATTTTCATGCTTCTCGTTACAGTTGTTTAGAAACTGGGGGCTCACTTTCTAAAAAACGATTTTGGTTTTATTCTTTTTTTTTTAAAGGAAGTAAAACTAAAAAACAATTTCAAATACCTCCCTGCTCCGTAGTCATATTTTTGTATACAAATATTATTTGGATCATACTTTTTTGCAACTTTTTTGTGTGGTCCCTCTAAATTTGTTACTTTTTCTTTTAAATAAAGAAAGAATTTGTTAATTTTATCTCATCTGCATAGATTCCAACCGTACAATTTTACTTTACTAATTCTCGTGCCGATTAAACTTGATCAAATTTTATGGAACAAAGCGAGTATTTATAAAAACCTCTTTACCGGTGAGCGTAGTTCAATTGGTAGCAATAGAGTGCCACAAGGATTAGGTTCCAGGTTCAAATCCCGTCAACTGCGATGAAGGGTTACAATGCTAAAAATGCATAAAGCCTATGCAAGTACCGGCTGGGGACAGAACTCCACTCTCTATCTATCTAATTGAGATTATAATCCAATTTAATCTTTTTTTCTCATAAATAAATATGGAGAAGTTACGGCGAAAGCATCACATATTCCGTCGGCGGTGCGGTCCCACGGACACGTTTTCCAGCTGGGTTATATGCACTCTTGGCCCTTCCAGGCTGTTTAATTACAAATTTCTCCCCACCCAAATCTGGATGTATCTTCCTCCGCTGTATTTTGATTTGTTGTTTCTGTCTAAAATATTGTTAAGGCGAGAAGTAGTGCTCAAATATATCCTTATTATTTCGAATAATTACATGTGATTAATGCCTATTGTCGTGAATGTCACGAATAGTAATTGTTCTTATGGAACGGTGGACCCCATTAGAGTGCTGCTTAGATAGTAATGTTCTCATAACAAAGTATGAAAAGTTTGTGTGACTCTAAATCGTATCTACTTTATTCTTATTTTTATCAATTCAATATCAATCATACAAAATCAGTTTTCTTGATAATTGTGTCACTTCTTTATGTCTCAATGTTGAAGAACATAGGTAACATTACGTAGTACTGGAGTAGCTTTTAATGACTGGAAACATTCTAAAAATGTGGCATAATAAAGAAAATGTTTGGTACAAGTAGGTGAAAGATGCTTTTATTGCATAACTTAACTGTTTCATAGAAGCTGATTTTTTAATTTAGTTTTATAACTTTATTTGATATACTAGGTTGTTCTTAGTACAAACTAATGTTTACCGAAGTATTAACTTAGTCTATAAACTTTTTATAGACTCTCTAAAAAATTACGTAGTCTATCTTCTAAAAATAGAGTTTAAGTTTTTTTTTTGAAAAACAATTAAAGTTTGTTTTGTGCCAAATATAACTATGAACTTTTATAAACTTTTTATGTACTAGAAAAGTTAAAAATGAGGACTTGTACCAATCAAACATCTATCCGTTTTGATCGATTCAATATGTTTTTTGTTTTAAACCAACCATTTATGATTTTCCGTATTTATACAAATTAGATTACATCAATTTTTAATCATTTCCGGTTTATTAACTTTTTGTTAAGTCTACAAAAGCAATCGTATTCTGTCTATTTGTAATTTGCAAAGTAAGTCGCAGATGTAGTTCAGTTGATTTAATAGTGAGAAATTTGGGACAATGACCAATGTTCGAAAGTTGAAGCGGTCGTATTAAAGTTATAATTCCTGGATGTTAGACTGAACATCTGGTTCACACGGGTATAAGACATCACCATTAGGTTGAATGAGTTAGTGTGACCTGCTCCTCCACCATTCCCAAAGTAAAACTCTTATTCTAAAAGTATACTTATCTAAAGTCTAAAACAGGCCAACTTAAATAAGAACAATTTTGTTCACCCCTTCAAATGAGGTGAACATCACCCCACCTCTATTAGGCTGCCACATGACATGACAATGCTTTTAAATATTGTAATTGTTATAACTTTTGCATTTTGGTTCAATTTTTCCAAAAAACATATCAATATTTTTAATTTTTTATGATTCTTCATATGATATCAATATTGTATATGTAAAATTTTAAAAAATATTGACTTAAAATAGATGTAAGAAAAAAAAATGTTTTTTCAATTTTTTATGTATGCAATATGGATACGAAAGAACATAAAAAGTTATTTTTTATAAAATTTGACCAATAAACTAAAATTTAAATTAATTTAAAGAAAAAATGGAATCACAAGCCAGGTGGCAACAAATTTGGGAAGGGGTGAACAAAATTAGACTCTACTTAAATGCCCTCATCGGCTACTAGATCGGCATAAAGAAAACCAAATCCCTATTCTCTCTGTTTCTTTCCTCATCTCTTCCCTTCTGTAATCTACAAGCCATGGATCGGGCAGCAGCTGTATTTCTATCAGTACTGATACTTGTAGTTGCCGGAGTCGGAGGTCAAGCTCCGGCTGCTGCGCCTACTAAATCTCCGCCGTCTGCCATTACCGCCACTGCTCCAATTGCCAATTCTCCGGCGGCTGCCGTCAATGCGACTAGCCCTGCGGCGGCAAATCCTCCGGCTTCCCCGAAAGCAGTCACCCCAGCGTCTGCCGCACCTGCGAATGCTCCGGTAGCCGCGAAAACACCACCTCCCGCTTCTTCGCCTGCGCATTCTCCATCGAAATCGAAAGCAGTTTCTCCGGCATCTGCTCCTCCTCAGCCGTCAAAATCTGCGCCTCCGACACCTGCCGCGGTCTCCCCGGCGACTAAATCTCCCACGATCTCTCCACCGGCAGCCGCTCCTGTCCAATCACCACCGATTCCTTCCCCCGAAGCAACCACACCTCCACCGGCTGCTTCTTCTCCTCCGGCAGCGGCTCCGACGTCAGAGCCTACAGCGCCAGCGCCGAGTACCTCTGCAACTTCACCAGCACCGGCGTTCAGTAGCCCACCCCAGCCTTCGAGCGACGGCCCCGGTCCCAGTGCCTTCTCTCCCGGGCCATCATCATCACTAAGCGATGAGGTACTATTTCGCAGATCTATTCTTATCAATTTATTATTAATTGTTTTCCACTAATCTTGCTTAACTACATTGGCTCTAGTTTAATCTGGAATTCTCTTAGATTGATATAATATTAATTATTACTACCAGCGACTTTTTATCATTATTTTTAAAGGAAAAATTATAAAATGACTTTTAAAGGTTTTTAGGAAAATGTGACATCTTATTATTTAAGAACCTTATTTTTTTTTATTTAAATGACCTATTCAATTTATTGCATTTAATATTTCTTACAAATAATATTTATTTCGATGACACTCTTAAAAAATATTTATCCCAAATTTTGAATGGGCGTGAGGTAAGAACCTCACACTTGCATATGTAATTCAAATACCCCAAACTCTATGTAAATTGTTGTTTTAGCAACATGATTATGCATTATTTCTTTCAAAAATGTTAATTTTTTGTGTTAATTTCATAATTTAATATATCCCATACTTTGAAACAGTGCGAGATAAACACCTCAAACTTTCGTATGTAATTTATCTACCAGAACTTTTATAAAAACAATATTTTAGCACCATATGTGGGAGCCACTTTGAAGTATTTTAATTATTTTTTCCTAATTATAATGGATAAAAGTATGACTGTTATTTTAGTGACTTAACAAATTATAATGACTAAAAAAAAGGTATTCTAGTAGTGATTTTAGTTCTTCCAAAAATAGTGATTTTAGTCACATTTTCTTTAATAAATTTTCTGTTATTAATATTTTCGGAGTACATTTTATTAAAGAGTGAATACGAACGAAAAAACGTCATTGGACATTTGGACGTAAAATGTAAGTTTTGAGACGAACTAAAACGAAAGGTATAGAGTTTGGATATTTGGACGTAAAATTTAAGGTTTGAGACGAACCAAGTATTTTTGTTTTCCAATTGCATTTTTATCTTTTTTTATTACTACTAGTTTATATTAGGGGAGAAGTCATTTGGGTCAAACTTTATAAAAGTTGACCATTAATTATTCAAAATTCACATTATTTTATGATTAAAAAATTATTTCATATACGTCATTGTAAAACATATTATTTGAATGTTAATTTATTATGAATTTTATAAATATAGATATGTAGATATTTAGAATCAAAGTTCAACTTAGAAGATCGTGAAAAGTCAAAATGGAATTATCAATTTGCGGAGGTAGTATTTTATATTAGGTGAGAGTTTTCTTTACATCATGTAAGATTTGAGAAGAAACTATCAGATTTTCCCTTCCACTAAAAGCATTATAAGTATAAGTAATCATCGTTGATCCGGTATCACTTAAGAGCAGATCTAGAAATCTGAATTGAACTAGCTGAAATTAAGAGTAGATTTATATACTATCGTATTAGTGAGCCAAATATAAAAAATGATTTTTTTTAAACAAATTGGAAAATTAAGTTGTTTTTAATTTCAGTCTACCATAAGCCTAAGGTAGATACGCCTTGATAAATTAATAAATTCATTTTATGGTTATTGTGTTCATAAAACCACAATTTTTCGTCTAGCCAAAAAAAACCCACATTTTTTCTTTTCTGTATTATACACACAAATATTTTGATGACCTCAAATTTCAATGAAATTCCCGAGGTGAACGCTTTCAAGATCTACTACTGAAGTACAACTGTTCGAAATATTTTTGAATATTTTTGAATATTTTATTTTAAAATTACTAAATTGTTTTATAATTTCTTTCTATTTCTAATACTTTTGAATATTCTATTCGCACGTACCGTCGCAATTAATTCAAGACGCGAATACTAGATTAGCAAGTTGCATTCTTATTATTGAACTCACCGACAGATTAATTTCCAATCACATTATTCTAAACTGCCACTAATAAAGTGGCCCCTATAATTTTCTTTTTTGCGAAATGGGGCGACTTTCTTACCTATTGTTTAGGTTGTCCTTTAACGTTTGAGACTTTTTTTTTTTGAAAACTTGTATAATAAGAGAAAATGACAAATAGACAGAAACATCGCTTTAAAATGTCAAAATAATAAAGTGCAAAGTCATTGTTCACAATACCTTTCTTAAAGAATGCTTAATCACAAGTGTTAATTTAGCATCACCAACTCTTTATTGTCATGACCATTAAAGACGTGCACCGACCCACATATACTCGTTGCATTTTAATTTGATACTTTTATTACAATATGTGCAATTGGTCTTCTAAAATGGTAATGTCCAAAGGGTTGGTTGGAACTTGGAACAAGTCATTGGTGTCCAAAAAGTTAAAAAGCAAAAAACAACAAAATAATAAATAGATAAAAAGAAAAGGTAAAAAGACAATAATGTACTAGTACAATATAACAAATAGATCCTGTTTTGGAACATCCTAAAAAGAAATTGCATTTTAGGCAATGAATAAGAGCCCAAAGAGTACATAAAGTATCACTGTTTACAATTTTACATTTGTTCATCACATAGGTTAGACTTTGACATTATAGAAAATGTTATAATTGTAAACAAATTTGAAAACATTTACTAATAAGTGGTGCGATTATTGTAATAACTTTTATTGGACTCTTTGGATGAAATTGTAGAAAGATTGTTTGGATGAAACATTAGAAAATCTTGTGTGTGCTTCTGAAAAATTGATTCTCTTTTGATGGTGAAAAGGAAGGAATACTTTCTGTTGTTGCCTATTTAATAAAATAAAATGACAATAACTCCGTGTTATGTACTCTCTCCGTTCCTAAATAAACTTTCAACTTTTCTTTTTCGTCCGTTCCAATTAAAACTCTCACTTTCCCTTTTTAGTAAAGAATTTGTGGTTGACAACATTTCTTACATATTTTTCTCTCCTCTGCACAACTCTGCACCACACAATACCCACTATCTTAAACTGTGTGTCAAACCTATTTGGAAGTTTTAATAGAAACGGAGGGAGTAATACTCACCTAGTCACGTACTCACGTGTTATATATGTGGGCCGGCATTAATAATATTTGAAATTGGAAACACAGAGTGGAGCAGAGAAATTGATGGGCCTGACTGGAAGCCTGGCATTGGGATGGGCTGTATTCAGCTGGATCTTCTTGTTCTAAACCGGGTTCATTACACGAAACATCCATATACGTCGAATTTGGTCTTTTTATTCGGACATCTTTTTTATCATGATCATTATTCTCCTGGAATATATTTTATAGCACTACTCACCGGCCTGATTTCGTTCCGTTATGGCGGATTTGCCACATTGCCATATTCTTTTGATTGTAATATGAGAGGATACTTCTTTATGTATTGTGTATTAAGGAGTATTTTATTATTCTTATTATTATAATTATTATTAATTATTGTTATTCTGTTTGTATTGAAGGCCGACGCGTTTTGAGTTCACTATTACACACACATATACATGTATACTTGGTATGAGAGTGTTTTCTTGTGAACCTTCTCTTTTGATTTTTTGAGAAATAAACTTATTTTTTTAACAAAAATGTGAGAAAAATTTCGTCATGAGACCATTTTTGGTATCTTCATGTCTCAATTCAGGATAAAGGAGGAGGAGGTAGTGGAAGCATGTGATACACAACAAGAATTGAAATATGAATATTGCTATAACTAATGTGCCGCTTGTAAGTAACATGTCATCCCTCCGCTTGGAGGTGATGTCAAATATGTAAGAGCGCAATATACTTCATAGGTTTGACTGTTTGAGTGTGGTGATAGAATGATTAGGTTGCTAGCTAGGTTGGCGTCGGAAAGTGACGTGTCACTCCAATGTACATGGATGGTGTCAAATATGCAAGGGAATGGTGTGTGTCAATGTGCTTTGAAGAGTACAAGGAACGAGTGCTAGATTGCGCTTTGCGACATGGAATGTTGGCTTTCAAGAAAATATAATCATTATGCGTGTGCAAGAAACTAAGTGAGTTCAAGTAAAGCAACATGAGATTAATCATGAAGGTTTTTGTTGTGGTATTCAGGGATAGAAAAGATCTGAAATGGAGTAGACATTATTGTGACGCGTGATTATGTTGAGGGTGTGGTGAAAGTCCTTAGAAAGAACGACCACATTATGACATTAAATTGGTAGTAGGAGATGAGATCATGTTCGTAGTAAGTGCCTATGCACCACAAGTGGGGATTAAATGAATCTATCACTCAATAATTTTGGGAAGATCTTGAAGAAGTGTGACAAGTGTCAAGAGGAAAGAAGTTGGTCATATGAGGCGACCTCAATGGGCATGCGAACTCAAGTCGTGATAGTTTTGAGAGTATCCATGACGGATGGTATATCCGGGAGGATAGTATATCCGGGGGATACCGCTGAAGGGTATCTAGAGAGAAGTCGGAACAAGTAAGAGAGAGAATAAGTATGTAATAAATGAACTCGTTGTTTTTAACAATAGAAAGAGCGGCGTTATTTATAGCAACCATAAATGCTAGGCGCATTTAATGCGGGTACACGTGACAATTAACCAATGGTGGAAGGTCAACTCAACCAAGGTGGCGCCGACATAGCATGTGGCACCGCATTCAATGCGGTGATTTGGATGTGACACTGCATTAAATGTGGTGATTCAGAGCGTGCATAGAAAAGATCTTATCGGGGATAGTGCTCTCGGGCATAAGTACCCGAGGGCTTCATGTACCGGCGGATGTATGTGTTGAAGGCTGCATGTGCCGAAGCTGATGATTTTGGCCCTGCTTCCCAGTCGTGTTTTTGGACCAGGAGTAATCGTTTTCCTGAAGGCTAAAGGGTCGAACAGGTCCCTGTACTCATATCAATAGCTCAATTGGGTACCCGAACTAAAAAAAGGTCCAATCCAATCCTCCAACTCTTCAAAATCGTTCAATTTTTTCGTTTTTCAAAGGCTAAAGGGTCAAATAGGTCCCTGTACTCATATCAATAGCTCAATTGAGTACCGGGAGTTTACCGGCTAAACGAAAAAATTGAACGATTTTGAAGAGTTGGAGGATTGGATTGGACCTTTTTTTAGTTCGGGTACCCAATTGAGCTATTGATATGAGTACAGGGACCTATTTGACCCTTTAGCCTTTTCCTGAATATGAAGCCTTCGAGCATAGGGCCGAAGCCTATACCCTGTGTAGCATGGACTGTCCGGAGTCTTGTTTGCTGTATTTGGGCCAACTGAGCCTGTTTGTAGTAGTGGGAGTATGTGGGTCGGGTGTTCCTAGGCCATATACTCCATTAGGAGTCCCCCACTCCTTTTGCCGAGAGCTTGTCGATGGAAATATGAGTAAGTGTCGTGATCTCGCTGGTGGCTACCTCACTGAAGGTGAGGAATAGTGAAAACTTTGTGTGCGTGTTTTGCCGAGGGGAGTCCCCCAGTCCCCCACGTTTGATACCGAAGGCCTTTGATGGGATTCATGGCTGTTTCTCCGGTTTTGGTGAAGCGTGGCATGTTTTTGTTGATGTTCTAAAAAAACTTTTGACATTCTTGATTTCCCCGGGGGGTTCCCCCAGTCCCCACACCTTTAGGCCGAGGGCATGTTCGGGCTGAAGGGGTCTTCAATGTGTCACCCTGAGGGCTTCGTAATCTTAGTTGTTCGGGGGCGCTGGTTGAGGCCGTTCGGTTGCCTAGAAGTAGCCGTTGGAATATGACCGTTGAAGAAGGCATCCACGTGGCGCGCGTTGGTTTGTTTGCTTCGGGCGGTTGTCGCTGGTTGGCTGAGGTGATGGTTCGTAATGATGGGCTTTTGACCAGAGGCCATGGTTTCGGCCTTAACCGTGGTTGGGGCGGCTATAAATACCCAAGGCCCGCGATTTATAACTGAAGCGAAGCTCTGCCAAATTTTCTAGAGAGAGAGTTTAGATCGATCAAACCAAGTTTCCGAGGTCAGTTCTTCTCTTGTTCTTGATTCCCTTAGCATATTTTGCTCCACCTGCCTTAGATCTAGTGTTAGTGGCCTTAGAATTTTTTTATCAACTTCCCTCGTCAAATGATCCGAAGGATGTCTTCTGCAAGCGACTCCCATGACATTTCCAAAGAGCCCTCGGTCCAATCAGAGACTTCGTCTGACAAAGGGCCATCAAGCGCTCAGGCCTCATCCAACAATGATTCTGTTGTGGCAAAGGAGGTTTAGAGCAACCTTAGAACCGAGGCCGAAACCGAGGAGTTCGAGCAGGTAGCCAAGGATGAGGAGTTGGCCCTCACCGTTCAAACTGCCGAGGAGGAGGAGGACAAGGAGCGACAGCGGGTCACCGTCGCCATCCTTCCGGTGAATGCGGGTGGAGCAGGGACTTCACAACCCCTCAGCCTAGATCCACTTCGGGCTGCGCCACTAAAGAAGAAGAAGAAGATGAAGGGGCCTTCGAAGAAGAAGCGGGCTGCTGATAATGCTGGTTAGCCCGTAGGTATCCACGAGGGGCATTCATACTTAAACACTGCTGCCCTCGCCCCTGAAAACGAAGGTTGATGACGCTGAGTACCATGTCACACAAATCTATGTTGGCCCTTCGGCGACGGTAATAGAGTCGGGTCCCGATGATGTGCTTTCCCGTGCTCCCGAGGGATGTTTTGCGGTCCACATCCTCTCCATTGCGTTGGGCCTGTGGTTCCCTTTCCACCCATTCATCCTGAAGTACCTTAGGTATGTCGGCTTGGCCCCCTGTCAGCTAACCCCGAATAGCCATTCATACATCGTCGGCTTCTTGCATCTCTGTCGGTCCCGAGGGGTGAAGCCGAGCCTTGATCTATTTTTCCTTTGCTTCAATCTTTGTCGGGGAGGGCATGCCAATAGCGAAGGCTTTGCCAACCTGCAGCAGGTCCCCGAGTGGAGACTTTTCTTGGAAGTGCCCTCGTCTCATAAGGGCTGAAAGGACCGCTTCTGCTACATTAGGATGGCAGAGTCCATTCCCCGGCGCACTGCGAGACCACTTCCGACGTCATCCAAAAGGGGGTATTGCCGGCCTCGAGAAGGATGGGAGGAAGATCTCTGCATTCCCGGAGGGATCCACCAAGTTGGTGACGATCAAGGATGTCACCCTCTCGGATGACCTGTATGACTTGGGCTTTCGGCGCTATCGCCTCCTCGGGGAGCAGGACGAGAGATTCCCGTTGATAGATCGGGTATACGAGAGAGCTCCAGGATCTGAGGGAGGAGTTGGAGGTGCCTCCCTAGAGCCTTTTTTTGTACTTCGAAAATAGTTTGATGTGTTGCTTTTGTTGTTGTTGTGAACCCCTCGTCCTCATTTTTGTTTTATTTTGTAGGTAGTACTATGGATGTCCACACTTTTGCTGCCATGAGGAAGCAACTGCGCAATGCCTAGAAGAAGAAGGAGCCAATGGTGTAGAAGCCGGTGGATGAGTTCTTCAAGAAGGGGGGCGAAGAGCCCTTGAAGGCTGTTGGGGCCGGGCAGGAGGCCGGAAACTCCAAGGCCGATGCGGCCAAGAAGAAGAAAAGGGTCGGAAAGGGTACCGAGCCCCCGGAGAAGAAGCAAAAGGGGGTGACCCCGGCAAGAAGCCCGCCTCTGATTCCGTGGTAATTGTAGAAGAGCACTCGACAAGAAGCACCTGTTCTGTGTAGCATGGGCTGTCCAGAGTATTGTCTGTTGTATTTGAGCCAACTGGGCCTGTTGGGCCTGTTTGTAGTAGTGGGAGTATGTGGGTCGGGGGTTCCTGGGCCATATACTCCATCAATCCATAATGGATATGGTTTTGGCACCCAAAAAGAAGCGGGGGGAGAACATTTTGAATTTTAATCCGTGTATGAGTTGGCCGTAGTGAACACTTGGTTCAATAAGAGACTTTCACCTTGTGATCTATAAAAGAGAAGCTATTAATATCCAAATTGACTAATTCTTAGTGCAGACAACTTGGAGAACTAGCTACACTGATTGTAAATTTATCACTCAACATAGAATACATGTGCTTAACTTTGATGGTAAGAAGAGAAGGTGGGTTAAACAACAAGTTGAGCCAAAGATAAAGTGATGGAGGCTCACGAGCGATCTGCAACAAAGTTTTGCACACAAAATGTTAGAGAAAGATGGATGGTGCAGTGAGAATGACGCACATGTGAATGATGTGTGGTTATCAATGGAGTTGACCATTAATAAAGTGCCGAAGGAAATACTTGAATAATCTATAGGATATCTGCCACCAAAAAAGATACATCTTGGTGGAATGATGAGGTGAAACAAGCAATAGGGACCAAAAGGGAGTCTTAGAAAAAGTTGGGTAAAAGTTGGAGCAATAAGAGCATAGATGAGTACAAAAAGGGTAAAAGAAAACCAAAGAATGTGACAC